GAGTGCCAGCGTCCAGAGATGCTACAACCAGCAGCAGTCCTCGGCAGCATCGTCGTCTGTTTCTTTGGACAAGGTTTTCTTGAAGGCACCTCCGATCTTTCGGCCGTCGTCGACACTGCCAGAGTACGAGGGTTCGCCGGGTTCGTTCTGGTGGCAAATCCTTTGTATGGAGATTTTGTTGCCCAGCCGATCCCCTTCTCAGTTCCTGGGATTATGATTCCTCGCGTATCGGATGCCCAAGTGAGTGTTATTCCTCTGAATACTTACGTGTACGCTTTCTTCTGTATATACCCGAGCTAGTTAACTTGTCTTGGACGTTCTACTCAGGAGGTGAATTTGAGTATTTTGTGCACTTCAGAGAATTTATGAGTATTTTTCTTAGCTCACATTATCAAACCCGAAATCCTTGCAAGCGGCTGACATTTACATACGCCTACAGATCCTAATTCACTACTACGAGGACTACACGAACAAGAACCCAACAAAATATCGAGCGACTGCAGCGATCAAAGAAGGCAGGATGGCAACGTTCGATGATCCCGCTCCCATCGTCGCAAGAACTTCATCGAGAGGCCCCGACATCGTAGACGACAAAATGAACCCTGCGGACGTCCTCAAGCCTGATATTCTCGCACCCGGCGACCAAATCTGGTCTGCGTGGAGCCCCGTCAGCTTAATGAATCCGATACTCCGCGGGAGAGCTTTCGCCTTGTTATCAGGTACCAGCATGGCAACGCCCCACGTCGCCGGGGTGGCGGCGCTCGTGAAGCAGGCGCACCCGGGCTGGTCTCCTGCTATGATCGCTTCGGCGATATCGACGACAGCAGCGGGGTATGATAGCCGAGGGTTGCCAATAATGGCTCAGGGGGGTGAACTGTATCGGGTTTATAATTCTACTCCGTTCGATCGTGGAAGTGGGTTTGTCAGTCCTGCAGGCGCGCTGGATCCTGGATTGGTTTTTTCAGCAGGTAATAGTAATACCATCAACCTTTTGGTATATACTCTTGGTCCTATTAATACCAGGTTAGCACTGTAGCAAAATATAATGGATACTAATTTATACTCTTTGATCCTACCAGAGTTTGAGGACTACATAAGCTTCCTCTGCTCACTGCCTGGCCTAGACAGAGCTAGAGTCAAATACGTAACAGGCGCTTCATGCAACGTACCGGTACCATCGCCAGCAGATCTCAACCTACCTTCGATCACAATCTCGGCTTTATCGGGTTCTCAGTCTATCCATCGTCGAGCGACCAACGTGGCGAGCTCACCGGAGACGTACACATGCTCAGTTCTACCTCCAGATGGCGTGGCCGTCGAGGTTCAGCCAATGATATTTACGGTGCTGCCACGGAGGACGCAAGAATTGGTGATAAGATTCAATGTGCCTCATGGGTCTGACGGTTTTAAGTTTGGGGAAATTGTTCTTGTTGGTAGCTTGAATCATATAGTAAGATTGCCCTTGTCTGTTTTTCCTAAAGCATAAGGGACACTGGATTACATGTCTGTATTCGTGATGGAACTCGAGTTATTTGCTTAAGGTTTCGTGTACTCGCTAAAAATGAACAAGGATGGTGGCATGTTCTGAATAGCAATAATTCGTATATGTGCATCTACATCCTTTGATAGTTCCTTGTACTAGTAAAGCACACTTGACTTGCACACAATAGTAAGGTTTAAGTCACACTTAACTGGCGTCAATTTAAGCAAACAATAACCAAAAGAGGTATATAACTTGAAGCTGATGCTACCAGAGTATTATAGATATATCGCACGAGAGCCACATCCAGCTGCATTATGCTGTTCAGATACGTAATAATTAAAGAACCATAACGATTTTGCTCCATAAAAACATCCTTAATACTTCAAACAAACATACCCGCGTTCAGGCAATATCTGCTCAACTTACTGCAAGTCATGTTTGGAACTTTCAACATCCTTGAACAAAGCAGGAGCAAAAATACCTTTTACGAGTGCCAGCGTCCAGAGATGCTACAACCAGCAGCAGTCCTCGGCAGCATCGTCGTCTGTTTCTTTGGACAAGGTTTTCTTGAAGGCACCTCCGATCTTTCGGCCGTCGTCGACACTGCCAGAGTACGAGGGTTCGCCGGGTTCGTTCTGGTGGCAAATCCTTTGTATGGAGATTTTGTTGCCCAGCCGATCCCCTTCTCAGTTCCTGGGATTATGATTCCTCGCGTATCGGATGCCCAAGTGAGTGTTATTCCTCTGAATACTTACGTGTACGCTTTCTTCTGTATATACCCGAGCTAGTTAACTTGTCTTGGACGTTCTACTCAGGAGGTGAATTTGAGTATTTTGTGCACTTCAGAGAATTTATGAGTATTTTTCTTAGCTCACATTATCAAACCCGAAATCCTTGCAAGCGGCTGACATTTACATACGCCTACAGATCCTAATTCACTACTACGAGGACTACACGAACAAGAACCCAACAAAATATCGAGCGACTGCAGCGATCAAAGAAGGCAGGATGGCAACGTTCGATGATCCCGCTCCCATCGTCGCAAGAACTTCATCGAGAGGCCCCGACATCGTAGACGACAAAATGAACCCTGCGGACGTCCTCAAGCCTGATATTCTCGCACCCGGCGACCAAATCTGGTCTGCGTGGAGCCCCGTCAGCTTAATGAATCCGATACTCCGCGGGAGAGCTTTCGCCTTGTTATCAGGTACCAGCATGGCAACGCCCCACGTCGCCGGGGTGGCGGCGCTCGTGAAGCAGGCGCACCCGGGCTGGTCTCCTGCTATGATCGCTTCGGCGATATCGACGACAGCAGCGGGGTATGATAGCCGAGGGTTGCCAATAATGGCTCAGGGGGGTGAACTGTATCGGGTTTATAATTCTACTCCGTTCGATCGTGGAAGTGGGTTTGTCAGTCCTGCAGGCGCGCTGGATCCTGGATTGGTTTTTTCAGCAGGTAATAGTAATACCATCAACCTTTTGGTATATACTCTTGGTCCTATTAATACCAGGTTAGCACTGTAGCAAAATATAATGGATACTAATTTATACTCTTTGATCCTACCAGAGTTTGAGGACTACATAAGCTTCCTCTGCTCACTGCCTGGCCTAGACAGAGCTAGAGTCAAATACGTAACAGGCGCTTCATGCAACGTACCGGTACCATCGCCAGCAGATCTCAACCTACCTTCGATCACAATCTCGGCTTTATCGGGTTCTCAGTCTATCCATCGTCGAGCGACCAACGTGGCGAGCTCACCGGAGACGTACACATGCTCAGTTCTACCTCCAGATGGCGTGGCCGTCGAGGTTCAGCCAATGATATTTACGGTGCTGCCACGGAGGACGCAAGAATTGGTGATAAGATTCAATGTGCCTCATGGGTCTGACGGTTTTAAGTTTGGGGAAATTGTTCTTGTTGGTAGCTTGAATCATATAGTAAGATTGCCCTTGTCTGTTTTTCCTAAAGCATAAGGGACACTGGATTACATGTCTGTATTCGTGATGGAACTCGAGTTATTTGCTTAAGGTTTCGTGTACTCGCTAAAAATGAACAAGGATGGTGGCATGTTCTGAATAGCAATAATTCGTATATGTGCATCTACATCCTTTGATAGTTCCTTGTACTAGTAAAGCACACTTGACTTGCACACAATAGTAAGGTTTAAGTCACACTTAACTGGCGTCAATTTAAGCAAACAATAACCAAAAGAGGTATATAACTTGAAGCTGATGCTACCAGAGTATTATAGATATATCGCACGAGAGCCACATCCAGCTGCATTATGCTGTTCAGATACGTAATAATTAAAGAACCATAACGATTTTGCTCCATAAAAACATCCTTAATACTTCAAACAAACATACCCGCGTTCAGGCAATATCTGCTCAACTTACTGCAAGTCATGTTTGGAACTTTCAACATCCTTGAACAAAGCAGGAGCAAAAATACCTTTTACCACTGCTTAAAGCTTCTGAATCACAACTGAATTGGCGAGTCCAGCCTGCTCAATAGTCTGGGTAGCATCAGTAAGCTTCTTAGGTGGAAAGCCAGCAGTCTGCAAACTATAATTTGTCGACACTGCTCTCCCATTGCTTGCTGCATGATTGTCAATAAATGCCCTGATATTGCCTACTGTGTGGTCAGTATTGAAGCGTGCAACTGTGCGGGAGCCATCAGCCAACCTTAGTTGTATCGAGGTAACAGGTCTAGAATCATCAACTACTACTGGAGCAGCAGAAGATGGTGAAGAAGCAGCAACAGCAACAACAGACTCAGTAGAAGAAGATCCACCACCGAGAGTTCTTCCTACTCCTTGAAATGGAGAAAGGCGTTTCACAGGTTCCTGTGAAAAAGCAAAAGTATATGGTGTAATGACTGGTGCAGGCTTTAAAAAAAGGAAGGTATTTTCTGTACATATACCCCTTAAATCATGCACATTCGCAACACTACCCCCAAATCTCAATATTAGCAAAACTACCATAATTATCAACTTTATTTGGTGTGGTGAATAAAATTTGAACATGTTGATACTTTTACAATGTCATAACAAATTAGCCTACCAAAGTTGATGGTTTGTTGATTTCTGGGGTACTTTTTGATGTTGATTCTTTGGGATACAGGGATTTGGGGGGTAGTTTTGCAAATATGCATGATAAGGAGAACATATAGAAAAACCCAAAAAAGTAACAGAAAAGTTAAAGATTGGAGTTTTGTATAGGAACATACAGGACAGGCTTCCTCCCTCCTTACGAGGTTAACATGCACAGTGGACCTCCTATCTTCTGGTTCCAGTTCTTGAGGGCATTGTGACTTCTTGATGCTCTGCAGAGTCAGATATTAATCAGCCTTTAATTCTATCAAACATACATAATCAAAGTGAAATCAACAGATTTTTGGAAGGTTTTTAATGAGGGAGATGAAAGGAATCAATGCACAGCATGATGATATTAATTGGTCCTTAATTTTAATGGCATAATCTAGTGACAACAATGTATGTGCCATAGTCTTTAATCATGGAGATGAAAATAACACATTCCCATGTAACTTCTACCACTATCCTAGTTTGACAAGTTAGGGGTTAATAAGAGTATAAATTCATTTAGCTATATAAGGTTAGAATAAGCCTCTGAGCAGTGCCGTTCATCTACTACTCCCAAATAAATACGGATTTGAAAGTCAAAATCCCCCAAGTTACAAGGAGAACCTTGAACCTGCCTGTGCCTTTTGAGGGATATTCAAAAGAACACAACATTGAAGTTGAAACTTTAAAATCCTGAAGCTCGCTTCTTTTCAAACCGCTGTACAGACCTGAGAACTAATGCCAGCTGTTGAAGTCAAGTCAGTGAGGATCTCAGACTTTCTTTACTAGCTGAACTGGGAGCAACAGGCTGAACTACATCAGTACGTCTAAATGGTAAGTTTAGCCCCCAAGATCCTTCCTTGACAATCAGTCCAATCAAGAACCAATGGTAACAATAAGTCATGCCACAAGAGGCTAGTTTTGATATTAAAAATCATCAGCATTCAAACATTTACCATGAGAACAATTTGTGCTCTGGAGCAAGAACCAAACATTTACCATGAGAATAATTTGTGCTCTGGAGCAAGAACCAAGTCCAAAATCTCCACAACAAACAAAGTGAGAATCTAAGATCAGAAATCAAACTGGAATCTATCCATAATCATTCCATATGATGTAAAATGAGTCCATGTTCCTGGCAAAGGAAATTACAAGCAAGAAGAGGTCTTACCAAAAAATGATGGACATAAGTTATAGTAGGCATGCCTACCAATTTCATTAGCCAGAGAGGCGAAGAGACCAATGGATTCATATACCAGAAACTTTAAGTCTTAGCAACTCATAGCAAAAAGACCTCAACTCAGGTTAGGATCCTAAATTTGTAATAGCTAACTTTGAATCTCCTTTTCTCCCCCACCCCCACACACACATGAAAGACAGTAGAAAGCCATACACAGCAAAGATCTAACTACATCAACCCCCAGTATGAAGAGTTTTACTTAAAAGCAATATGCAGACTTTATTTAACCATGTTAGAAAAGTAGTTTTGAGAATATTTGATATTTTACATGATATATCAGTCTTTGACTAGATAAAATGTCAACATAAACCTTATTTAGGATATCAAAGTTAATATGGGTGAGAAGACCTACAGTGAACTTGATTCCCACCAACAATCTTTATGCACCCCATTTATGATCCTTGACACCATCCATAAGCATTTTTTATATTCAAAATAAACAGAAAAGTTTACATCATTTGCCAGTGAAGCTAATCGTTCAGGACCAACCAACAAAAAGGTATATTTTAAATCATTGTTATGATTCTGACTAGGCCTTAATAGAAAATGAGTAGAGTTCAACAGGCCACCGTACTTCTATACCAGATTTATAATTCTACATGTAGCAAATAAAAAAAAAAGGAAATGAGATAGCAAGAACTGGTATAGCAAGTAGTTGATATGGATAAAGAAAAAAAAAGTATTTCCAGCAATGATGAACACACCCAACTTGGAAGATGTCAACCAACAAAGAAAAGGAAATTTATAACCACTGACTGAGCATGCCATTTAGCATGCAATAACTGAGAAGAGTAATGAGATGAACATAAAGACAATTATTCGGTAAATGGTTATTATACCTCTAAAAATGCTGCATTTGCAGGATCATCAAACCTTCTCAGTGGTCCATCATCAATAGTAAATCCATTACTCCAAAAATATATATTGTGGATAACATTCTCAGATGGTCGAGGAGCAGCTGGTAATGTTTCACCTGAAAGAAGTCTACCAGTCCCAGTAAAACTTCGCGAACTCGAAGATGGATTTTGCTCAAAAGGCCCCTGTGTGGCTCCCATTTGCCTAGCTTGGTCAAATATTGCATCAACATTATGACCTCCTTTTGTAGGATCTTGAACAAGCATCCCGCTGCATGATCAGTGCATTATCAGCAAGTGAATTACATCAGTATAATACAGCTGGGAAATAGGAACGTAAATGAGGAATAAAAAATGTAATGTTAAAGCAAGCTAATTCTTGAAGAAAAGAAAGCCAATAAATTTAACATCCAATTTTCCAAATAATGGTAGTAAGAACTAAGAACAATAAACAGAAATGTAGGAAATAATTGAAAGTGCCGGCCAAACTGTCCAGCCACAGTTATGAAACCAATTCAAAACCAAAATTGGAAGTGAACATGTGAATTTTCTGCATTTAATTTGATATAAACACATCTAGACCACATTGCATCGCCAACTTTGCATTTGCTTTACACAAACTTTTAATGCTAAAGTCTAAAAAAATTCGCAAAACATGCAAAGCAATTACTAACTGCTCATCAAACAGATACTTATATTTATCACAAATATTATATCATTAGGAAAAGTGAAAAATTAATCCTCCCTACAATTCAATGCGACCTAGCAACAGAATTGATACAAATGTTGTATCTACGGTTGGCCATTGTTCGAGATGCTGCCAATTTGGTACTAATCATGCCATCAATAGAAACCCTAGATGTGGTAAATTTCACTCCATTCATCCACAATAGCAGTAGAATGACCCTAACCCCAACTATAGTTATCTACATTCAAAACTACAATTAAACTTACCAATTGCAACTACACTTTCCCCAAAAACCCTAACTAGGGCCTAATCAAGAGAAAGATCTCACCTTTTCTCTCCTCCGGTATAATACTCCTGCGGCCCATCGTCATCACTATCCGATCCATCATCATCCTTCCGATTCAAATCCGCAAGCGTCCGTATCCGTCCACTCGAACTCGCTCCCCCCGTCGTCGTCTTCTTCTTCTTCTCCTCCTTTCTCTCGCTCACTGCCGGCACCTCCACCTGCGGCGGCGCCGATTGAGGGATCTCGTCCTCAACTTGTTCGAATTCTTGATCTTGAAGAGGTTGATCGATGGGGCTGTTCTCGTAAAATGAGTGGATCGAGGGCTCGAGCTCGAAATTGTGGCTCTCGAGGAAGAAGAGGGCTTCTTCTCGAGAGGCGGAGGTGATGCTGATGAAGGTTTCGATTAGGGTTTTCTCGTCATCATTGTTGATGCTGTCCATGGCGATCCTGGGGATATTTTTGTGTAATTTCTTTTTTTTCCCCCTTATTTATTTGGGAATTGAGGAATTTGATCGCTTACTTGTGGACTAAGTCTACGAAAAGCCCATACGATTGATTATTGGACCTGGTTTAATTGGTTTGGGTTGGGCCAATAAACTATGGGCCCAAATATTTGCTTTTCAATGCGTATCCAAAACTTTGTTATTTTTAATAATTACCTTGAAACCATAATAATTGCGTATTTTTTGGCAAAATACTATTTCCTCAATTTTTCCACCATGTTTAGGGAATAAATCTAGAAATTTTATTAAATGACATGTTTTTTCATAATTGATTAAAGTGCTCTTATTTAAGTTTATTCCTATATTCTTTCCCTTTCGGCCTCCCAAATCATGAATTATTTATTTATTTTTTGCTATATTAGTACATGATTTTTAAATGTGGAAAAAATAATTAATATTTCAAATAGTTATTTGATATATTTCAAAGAGTATAAGCTACATTAAAAAAAATTCTACTGAAAATATAATTATTGGAAATGGAATTGTATGTTATTGGAAATACATTACTTTTCAAACAATATACAATCAAATAAGGATTCGTATATCGCTTTTCACAGTGGACACCTTTATGCTAAAATAACCACGGGTGAGAAAATCATGCATGATTATGTACTAGTGGGCATAATCAAAGATCAGATCATGATAATATTATAATCCATAGCTTTCTATTATACGCGTATGCAAGAAACTTATGGAAACCACTCCATGCATAAAAAAAAAAAAACCGAGTGCGTCACTTTGGCATCTCATCCAAATATTCTATTCTTTTGAGATATTATTGTAAGTCATCAAAAATATACTCGGTCTACACTCCTCGATCATATTGGTGCCCAATAGTTTGTAGCTTCTTAGGCGAAGCATGAAGGGATAAGGTTCAAAAGAGAATAACTAAAGAGAGAATCAATTTAATTGATTAATTGTGGCCAACAGCCTTCTATATATAAGTTTGTGAACAATTTGTTAATTTCCTTGTCGATTTGATGCTTAGTCTAATCCACTTTCCATGCCTCCCCATTTTTCTGGGCATTTCAGGATTAGCTCAAAACTATCCCATATTTGGCTCCTCTCTGCTGCCACTTTAGCTAATTAGTATGCATATGATTATGATAGTAATTGCAGATATTTTATGTGCAAGTGTATATATGTATAAGTTACGTTCCCATTGTATATATGTATGTGCAAGTGTCTCAACGCGTGGCGATGAGATCCCTTCTATACATAGCTGAAAAAATGATTAAAATTTTCAAAATAATATAATTTTTTTTTCTACATACAGATCATGACGAGTGCAAATCATGATGGACGGTGTCGATCATCGTTTCGAGTAGCCTATTGGGCTAGCTCACGATAAGCAGCTACTAGTTATAGGTAATGCAATTAGTGTGCTCATTCTCACTTTTTCATCCAGAACAAATCACAACCGTCCATTAAACAATGCACCGGAGAGAATCGGAATCCAAACATCCCAGAAGAAAGAAAATCAATCCAAATTATGTGTACGCAAATGCAAGAAAACAATCATTTGAAAAGCCAGCAAATCATCCATTACTTGCAAGATTCTGAAGAACAACCCTTCTACAAATACCGTGACAGATCTCTTCACACCATTATCCACACAGAGATTTTTTTTTAAAAAAAAAAATATGCCTGCGCTCAAGAACCACAGGCACAAGAACAAATCCTTCTGCCAAAAATCCACTGAAATGGCCATGAACATAACCAGGCTCTCCTCTCTGTATCTGTCAAGGATAACACTCGGCCCCCGAGTGCCTGTAAAAAGCGTGCAGGCACGTGCAAATGATCCCGTGCCGGTTCTCTTGAAGGATTCTTCTGCGAGTAAGAGGTTGAATATTGAGCACGTAAGTAGCCTGCCCTCATCGACGTATCTGAAGGAGGCAGATGAAGATGGAGGAGTCGATGAGAGAGCTGAAGAATTTATCAGAAGGTTCAAAGATAAGAATAGGCATCAGTCCAGTTCTGATGTATACAAGGAAGCATCAAATTGCATACCTCCGCCACCGAGAGGCAAGTGGGCTGGTTACTATCTTCATTAGGATGACGCTTCTTGCGAGTATTGTTGTTGTTGTGTGCAGTGTTGATTATGTGCGTCTGGTCTGAGATCTGTATCGCGTGTGTTTTAAGTTACGGATTGGTTGGTGACTACTGCACACCTCGCTTATCAGTTGTTGACTATGTTCACTGGACAGACTTACGGTGATATAAAAATTACCGACTCTTAGATGAAATGTACATTGATCTACAAGTTCTTTTTCTCATGGGATCGCTGAATATTTTTCTTTTGTTATCTTTGTCTAATGAAAGGACGAACTCTATCAAGTCTATCAAAAAAACATGGAAGGGAAAAGGGAAAAGTTGAGGATAGAAAATTAAAATTCCGCTACTAAATTTGTCGTTTAAAACGCTCGTTGGTTCATAATTAAACAATCCGTGAGTTATTCAACGTGAAATGTATCATTATAGTTACAGACCAGCCTTTAATGGGCTATAGCTTCAGATTACTTTCTGACCACCTTCAAATATATGCCAAAAAAAAGAGGGGGGAAACAAACATGAAGCTTGAAGAGAATCACAATTTGATGCCATAAAACGGCTCGAAACTTACTAGGAACTTATACCAGCTGATGCAACATACGTACAAAATTATCAAACATGTCACATTTGCCGATAAATAAGAATAATAGAAGACTAATCAGAAGAATATCACTCTCATGGTAATCAAGTTTTCTCCATATTAGGTAACAATGTGGGATGAATAACACGTCGTCAGCGCAGGAAGAATATGTTAAAGAAATAACAAACAAGAGGAAATAAAAAAAAAATGTACAAATACAGGAACAAACTTGAAGACTAACTGTGATTACTACGCATCTGAATATGTTTTTGAATCCTCATCTCCACCTCAAGATTGCTGATCCCCAGTGGAGTCCAGCTCCAAAGCCAGCGGTGGCAATTTTGTCGCCGGCCTTCACCTTCCCGCTTCTTACAGCCTCGTCTAATGCCAAAGGTACCGATGCGGAGCTCGTGTTTCCATAGTTTGCTAGATTCGATATTATCTTCTCCTGTGGGATCCCCAAGCGAGTGGCCACTGAATCTATGATCCTTTGATTAGCCTGCAGCAAATGGGAAAGTATTATCCCCTCAGTTTTCGGGTTCAGAAGTTGGGTAGATTTCTCAAAAAAGCTGGTAGGGATTTTGTGCAAAAATACCCTAAAACTATTTATATTAGAGAGAAGTACCATAGACTTCCTCATAAAAATGCTTATTTTATGTAACAATCTAGTATTTTACTTTACTGCATACACAATTACCAAATAGGGTTAAGTGCGTCTATTGTTTCAGATAGACCCCCTCGTGTGTTTTTTTTTTTTTTTTTTTTTTTTTTTTTTTTTTTTTTGACTCTACCCTCAGGAGATCTACTTGTCAAAAAAAAAAAACAATTTTCTTTCTCTGAGGATAAAAGAGCAAAAAAAGATTCACTCAAGGGGTCTGTGTGCAGCAATAGAACTACTGGAGGTCAATCATCAATTGGGCGATAGTACAAGGGTTTATCCGCAATTAAATCTTACCAAATATTACACTGAATATCAGTACAATGCCTACCTGATGGAGCAAAAGCCAGTCGATATTAGAACTCGTGAGGCCAGCCTCCTCAAGTGAGACCTGGAGAGTTTGTGGCACAGAACGGACAGCAAAACGGAAGACCTCTTTTCCGTTCATTTGTATGTAAGAGTAAGCTGATTTTCTCGGAGGAAACATCGGCGAACCATTTGTGCTTGAGGTCGCTTCGGGCTCTATCTTTTTGATTGGGGCATTCAAGAACCTTCAACACATAAAGTCCAATCATGAGAAATAGTGAAGATGTCCACATATTAAAACTCAGCAATGAATCGAAACCAAACATATACCTTTGGCCAGAGCCATCGCTGTTCAAGTCAAAACCAAGCAAACCATCTTCGTCGGCACTGCAAGCCTGAGCAAAGTTTGAATGAGGAAGGCCAGACTTGTTATTTTAATCAACAAATACAAGGAAAAATATGCAATTCCATGACGAGATATTGACACATAGTTCCTGTGCCCTTCTTTAGTAAAATGTAAGAATTTTGATTGTTAATTATAACAGATAATTTATGTTCACCAAATTTTTTTTTTTTTGGATCTTCTTCCCTCAATTTTTAGCAAGATTGCCATTTGTATGACACTTGTTATCAAATCAAAGTAGGATTCTTCATAACACAAAAAGCAGGAGAGAAAATATAAAAAACCTCGTAAAGTATGATGATCTGTAAGTGAATATGATGAATAAGCAAGATAGATCAAACAAATACCTGAAGTAAAACAGCACCAGCAGCATCACCAAAGAGAATGCATGATCCTCTATCGGTAAAATCCACAAACCGTGATAAAGCTTCAGCTCCAATCACTAGAATATTTTGATAACCACCGCCTGTTGAAGACGTACATTCATTTTTGTTCATGCGAAAATGTCAAATATACAATTTATATGATAGATGATTGGCTTACCTTTAATGAACCGTGTGGCTGTGATGAGACCCATTATAAACCCACTGCACGCTGCTGTAATGTCAAAGCCCCAGGCATTCTTGCACCCCAAATCTTTCTGAATCTGAACCAATATGGATAGAGGATAAATAATAAAATCATTAACCTTTTGATTAACTTACTCCTGCAGATTTATCAACCAAAACTTAACTATAAACAATTGTACATTAATAAAAGGATAAATCTCCATGTGCAAAGTCAAGTATTTGTCAAGCAATAATGCTATCATCATCTTATGTAATGAAGGCGACCTCTCCGTAAAACCAATCATTATTCTTTCAGCAATTGTCGAACTACCATGGAGAATACGTCATTGAAACTCATGAAACCAACCCATGACAAGAAACTCCTCATTTTACCAAATGTTATGAGAAAACGTCTGTTAGCTAAGATTGTAACATACTTATGATTACTTCTTCCTCACTTAAGGACAAAATAGAATTAACTGAAAAGGGTTAATTGCACAAAGACCCTCAGTAGTATTGTAGTTTTGCACCTACTATTGATGTTGTTCAATTGTTGCAGATAGACCCCCAGCATTAAATTTTTTGGACCTTTTTACCCTTGGACTCATTTCACCCAGGTGCAATATCTGCTAAAATTTCACCAATAGTAAAAGAGACAAAAAACTTAACCTAGGAGTCTATCTGCGACCACGAAACTACACAGATAGTAAGTGCAAGCTAACGATACTAGGTGGTCAGTGTGCAATTAACCCAACTGAAAAATAACGAGATATTAACGCTTACTCCTCTAACTTAAGAAGATCCGAATCCAGATTCATTATTCAATAGAAATCTTATGATCATTACCCGAGCAGCACCTCCAAAGAGATCATCTGGGGTGGATGAGGACTGTATGATCAGGTCGACATTCTCAGCCTCAACTTCAGCCATTTCAAGAGCACTCTTAGCTGCCTGAACAGCCAATGCATTTACATTTTCATTTCCTGTCAAAATATTTGCTAATCAGATACAAATGTTTGCAAATGAGGCAATTCATCATGAGCAGCCTAAAAGTGAATATCTGTTGCACCTTTACAGAACTACAGAATGAATTAAATTTTAAATTTTGGGTGAGCTTCACAAAACCTCCCTGCCCTTCGAGGTGTTTCCAACGATAGCCATTATTTACGAAGTGAACTAATCATCTTTTTTTTTCAAGTGGTGTTTACTGAAAGTCTGAAACAGAGGTATTAAGATATAATTTGAGATCATGGTGGATTCAAGCTAAATTCCATGACAATAGATAACTTTAGCAGTGTTAAACTTGGAGAGATTATGGTGGCATACAGATCCTAATAGAATAAACTTTTTAAGAATCTAACAGCTAGTTACAATATCCATGTCCAAAACAAAAGCACAATTATCATTTGTTGAATATCAAATAAACAATCTACAGTTCAGTAAAACTGCCAGATAGAAAATTTATGTTTAAGGCTACACAATCTTAATCTCCAAAAAGAGAGAATGCAAAAAAATGTTTTGACAAATAAGTACTAAGCTTTATGATATATTACACCTGTAATAACTCGTCTATTACGAATCCCAGTACGAACAGAAATCCATTCGTCTGAGGTGTCAACAATCTTTGCAAGATCATCATTAGAAATCTGAAGCTTTGGCACAGCCGACCCGCATCCAACAAGCTTGGAGCCCATACCAATAACTCTGTACAAATTTTTATAGAGTTTAGCAAATATGTCACATGTACATAGTTTTTACATAATCATTTTACAACTGGACATGATAATGCAAATGTGGTTAACCAGTCACATATAGAATACAATTCAAGAAAGTCACAGAAGTTGAACCTATAATGTGATGAAGGAACTAAATCTGAAGGGGGAAACGGGACGAGGGAAATGTGCTTTATCAACTGTCTGAAGGTTGGCTTCTGCTACCGCAATTGTAAATACTCAATTTGATCACAATAACGTAAAGTGTGTTTGCCAAGAGTTATGACATAGCTAAGCTCATGGAAATACAATAATATAATTTATAATTACGCAGTCTGCACTGATTACCATGGTAATCCAACTTTCACCTAAATGTTCTGAAGAAGAGGTGCTTTCTGAAATTCAAGTGTAAATTCTTTACAATCCTGAAACTGAATTTTCTACAAAAGAAGTTAAGTTGTATCAACCTATAAATACCTCTAGCTACCACAACATCAACAAATAATAAATAACACCGGATTCAATCACTTCAAAATGTCAATTTGCGGGGGAAAAAAAGATATTAGAAAAATCTTTTGATTTCTTCCTTCTGTTTTCTGGCGAAGGGCAAGAGCTTGATTACAACAGACTGCCTGACTAATTTTTAAACCCACCCACTTCCAAAATCATTCTTAAGCCCAGCTGTAGGATTATAGCTAATAGTAGGACAAAAATAGCAACTTGGGACCAAATATAGCTGCGGAATACGGATACATCAAATAGTAACTGAACTGAAGTGAGCCATCGGTGTAGCAAAGGAAAGGGAACTAGGTATAAAATGCTTAAAATACGGATACGTTGTGTTTTACGATGATTTGGAAAGCGAGTGGGTTTAAAAATAAAGCAGGATAAACAAAAACCAAAAAAAGAAAAAGAACCGGCGACGAGGATCAAAACAACAAACTGAGAACACATCAAAGTCAAAACTTTAGCACAAATTCTGGACAAAGACGCTACCTTGGCCGCCGATTCCTCAAAGAGGAAGAAGAAGCGCCATCAACAGAAGGAGAGCAGCATCTAATCCAAACCCTCTTCAAATTCTTCTCCGCTGAGAAAAACCCAGATCCAGAAACCCCCAAATAAGCGTGTCCAATCGAAGCGGCCGCCATTGCCGTTTGACTCAGGCACAGCAGAGAAGATATTTTAATGGGGAGAGGGCATGAGAGTGGGGATTTTAATGGGAATTTAAAAAGGAATTAGTCGATTCCCCCTCTATAATTATTGCTGAACTTGTTGGAGATTGAGAAGTTAGCTTCCCTGCGTACCTCTCTCTACAATTTCAAACACTGTAGCGTAATTTTGACGTAATTAATTGTTTTTTCGTAATAATTTAGCACGAGGTTTTATAAAATGGTTTTAGTTTTAGGCGCTAAATAAATGTACTTCTTTAATCTTCTTACAGATGTACTACAGACTTTGGTTGTTTTCCGAAAAAAATGGGAAATGAAAATGTCACATTTCATTTGCTTTCATCACATTTCAAGACATTTCCTAGTTTTCTTTTTTTCTTTTTGTTTCGCAAAGAAATCACCCCATTTCACCGCCATGTCACACTAAAAACAAAAAAAGCCGCAATAGTAACAGTAGAATAGATTTCCATTTCTTGTGTTTGTTTGTGAACAAAAAAAGAGAAATATAGGTCAGCCGCAATAGTAACAGTAAAATCAGCATTTAAATAATCTGTTTTATTCTCTTATACTATTTCAACAGTGCTTTTATTAATTAAAGATTCATAGAAGTGACATTTCCAAGTGTTTTCAGAGGTTTTTGGTGTGAAAACACATTTCTTAAAATTTGACATGGCATCCTACATGGCATCCCTCTTTTCTTAAAACTCAAAATGAAACAAACATGTGAAATGGAAAACGGTTAAAACCAAAATCTGAGGTGGCAGGGGAGGATTTCCTCAAAGGTGACATGGCAGGGGGTTTCTCATTTTTTTTTTGCAAACAAACAGCCCCTAATTTGAAAGAACCGTATCTTATGTTAGAACTCTGCTATTTGGCTCGCGGTTCAACCGAGAGCCCTCAACTCGCAGAGAGGTGAACAGAGGACAGGTCCCACTGCTGTGGGGCCCGCCCCCTGTTCACCTCTCTGCCGCGAGCCAAATAGTTTTTTTGCTTATGTTATTATTGGACCCAAAAAAAATTATAAACTTTTTAAACCTCAAGTAAACCCCCAGAAAAAGGGGTGGGGGTGGGGACCTCATAAACACGGTAAAGTATAGAGAAAATAGTCTAAAAATATAATTTTTAAAAAGTTCATATCTCAATTAGTTCAGCCTCATAAACGCGGTAAAGTTTAGAAAATCTATACCTCTAATCATCAAGATATTACCTTCAATTAGCGTCTGAAACTGAATCAAAGATCTTACAATCTCACATAGATTTTTTTTTGTCAATATACTAAGAGTTTGAAATTTAATGACACAAATATCTCAATTACAGCAACCAAACGGCATCAATTAAATGTAAGTTTATCAACTTGATGAACTCCAAATCAATCGGTTTTTCATATTCTGTGGCCAAAAAAAAAGAGTCAGTAGCATGCTGTCACCATTTACTGCAGATAGGAGATTTTCCATGCTGTTGGGAGTCAGCATTAAAATAGTTGGCATTTAATCACAAGCTTGCATAAACCAGGCAAAAAAAAAATTTATCTAATAAGGCACTTTGCAAGCATCTAACAACAGTATGCTCAACTTTTATCCCAATGATTCATTTCTCAAAAGCATGTCTGAATTCGATATGTTTTACACATAGATACAAGTCCATCATTAGACATGATAAATTATAACGGGTGAGGGAGGCCTTCTAGTTCACCAAAACTATATCGACAAAAAAAGGACAGAATTATGGTAGGCAACAGAGAGAGAGAGTGTGTGTGTTCGTTCCCGCTAGCATTTTCGTTCTTGCGCTTTTTCCGTCTCTATTTTCTGCAAAAACATGATACATTACAATTAAGAAAGTATCCAGAATGAATAACTACAGTGAAATCTATTGACAAATAGGGTGGTGAAAATTCCTCCTAAAATGCTGCAAGATGAAATTCATAATTGTTCGCATCTAATAGAGATAAAACTATGCCGTACAACAAGTATGATACCCAGTATATATCTCAGACAGAGTCCTAGTGACAGTTATGATTCAACGGCAATACGTTACTGTGTCACGATCCTTGCCAAAGAAAATATAATCCATCTTCAGAGGAGCAGAAACTGAAGAAGTGTACGGAGAAACTAGAGAGGCAAAAATAGGTAAGGATACCCATTCTATTAGGCATATTGAATTAAACAAGGTCAACTGCGTTTTAGTATTAAGTATAACCTAAACAGGCTAATTATTGGATCCTGTGCTGGATCCAAGCGAGCAGCAAATCTTGAAACCATTAGTTTATAGTTAAAATGAACCGAAGAACACAAAATGATTCAATATTGGCAACTGCGGCAAATACAAAGTGAAGCAAGAGAATTAACAGTAGCAGCAAGTGGGCAGCGGGAGCTGCATCTTGCGGGCAAATAAGGAGGCTTTGCCTATCACTAAGCAAAGAAAGTATCCATCAATGACGCATAAAGGAATATCATCCCTTGGATCACTAAACTTGGGGATTAGTGCACTAATCCAAGGATTTTTATATCCTTTTTAGTGCACCATTACTGTTGAACTGGGTGCAGTGGATATAACACTAAATCATTGACATCGGAAAAATTGAAAAATCAAGAGAGAAGGGGTTTACCCATGGAGCAGAGTAAAGTCGGAAAATTAAAATAAAGAAGCAATAGAAGATAACACTAGAGAAGCAAAGGTGGTTGATATTGGATCAAGAAGGGGAACTCAAGAAGAAAATAATAGAACACAGAGGTATTACACATCTATTTACGGGCTATAGGTTGTCTAAAAATTATTACAGATAGCTGATCCTCACAAAATGCTGACGATGAAAGTTACAATCGGACGATTTTTCAACAAATGAAAGTTACAATCTGATGACTTTCATAACAACAAACGAAAGTTATAATCTGATGACTTTCATGACAACCGATGAAAGTTACAATCTGATGACTTTCACAACAGACGAGAGTTACAAATTGACGACTCTCACATTTCAAAGAGCCAAATGTAAGGATTACAAGATGACGATCTTTGCAGAACTTGAAAAAGAGATTATAATTAATGATCTCTTTAAAGCAAAACACAAGGATGCGCCTCTGCGTTCCAACTCCAAAACACGAGGTCCACCCCCGCGTTCCAACTCCAAAACGCGAGGATCCACCTCCACGTTCCAACTCTAAAACGCGAGGGTCACCTCCACGTTCTAATTCTAAAACGCGAGTCACCCCTGCGTTCTAACTCTCAAACGCGAGGTTCACCTCCGAGTTTCACAGAGCTAAACGCGATGCTCACTCTAGAACGTGAACCTCACGTTTGACTGTTTTAAACACAATTTGAACGGTTTCAAAACTGTTTTTTTACGTAATGGGGCCATTAAGCCCCCATTATGGAGCGAATTAAGAGGTCAGTTACACCCCTTAAACCCTATAAATAGCTGAGAATTCAGCTGAAATCGGATCTTTGGATGGTGGGAGCTTGTTAGATTATTAAAAATCTTTTTTTGTTGGAGCTTTTGAGATCATTTGGTTTGGCTTTTTGAACCATTTTCGGTTTTGAGATCGGCTATTTCGCTTATTTCAGTTAAAAGTTAAATTTTCTTTCTGAAATTAACTCTTTCGCAGAGTTCTTAAACTCGTTTAGAGTTCTAAACTTGCCTGGCAAGTTTCTCCCAACGTTAAGTCAAGAAGAATAGACAAAGTTTCACGAAACGAGACGTTCGGATCATCAACGGGATACAAGAATCAAACTCCAATAGCCATCAAGAAGAACCCAGAATTAAACAAAAGGAATGATCTCTATTGATCTTTCTCTCTTTTGTAAATCGGGAAATCGATAAAAAAAATTATAATTTTTTTTTCTAAGTCAGTTAGAGAGAAGTTATTTTGAGAGATTGTATTCATTCTTTTCCTAAGTCAGTTAGGAAGATTAATACAAATTTATTTCTCAATTTTCTTGCAATTTTACCCACAAACACGGGCAAAGCCACAATAAAAAGCAAAGCCAAACTATGGCTTTGAATTACTATCATTTATAAAATAGGGGTCAAAAAATGACCCTAAAGTAGATCCAAATACCTAAAAAGAGTAGGACAATATAATGTGACTTGAATTGAAACTAAAGAGAAGATATAATTATTTCTGGATCTCCTGTTACTCGCTGAAAATTTCAGAAAAGACTATGAAACTTAATTAATTCTCACGACTCTGGTTTACATGATCCAGTGTATCTAAGGAAACAAAACAATTTTCCTGAAGGAAGATAGAGAACTAAATAGCCTCATTTCGAGATATCTGTATGTTAGGCATTGGGGGTGGTCCTACATGAACCACAAAGCCAGCATTATCATAATAACTCACATGCACTTGCTATTATCTAACTAAAAGTTTGCAAATGTATTTAGATCCTCTTCATTTGAAAGTGAAGTAACGAGTATCAACACTACGACATATTTTTTCTAAATAACTAGCACTGACATGCACAACAAATTTTCCATAAGCAACACCATCTTGATAAGAAAAATATTAGATGGTAATAATACAAAGAAACATCCAAAAATCCAACCCTTAACCGCTGTCCCTTTGAAGATGAATTACGGTCACTCATAGCTACTCAGAGAATGAAACTTTCTTCTCTCTAAACAGTGATACCAAATCTATACTAATATATATTGAACTTAGTAAAAGGGCAGTGAAAAATTGAATGAATGTAGGACATCTCCTCCTTACTATTATGAGTCTATGACTGTGAGGTTAAAATTGTAATTTTGCCATAGAGATTTGTTTTCCCTTTCTTTTCTTTTCATTTCTTATTTCTAGAACATTCTAAATCATAACATGATAATAGGATTTTAACTCACATAATTGAAATACTCCCCATTTTTCTTTTTGTTTTAATCACTTGCTCCAATTATTTTATCCTCAATAAAGAAATTCTTCAACAAAATTGTGTTAAGAAGTTCATAGATTTAATTACTAAATAACAGTTCGAAATACATTTCTATATCGAAGTTTATAATAACATTACATAACTTAAATCATTATCAAACTATTAGCATGCATAACAGAAACCTGATTGGACAAAAATTTAATATTTCTACATGT